TCCATCAGGTTTTAAATATAGTTTTTTTATATATATACATACAGATTACAGGTAAATCAAGCCTAAGAAAGGAAATTTTTTGTTTTCTTATGTTTTAACTAAAATAAATTGCCCTGCATATCAGTAGAGAAAACCTAAGACAAACAGCAGGCCAACCTAGAAAATTGTTCAAATTTCAAAATTATTCAAATTAAAAAACATGTATCTAAGCAGAACCTAAGAAACAAATTTAAGCTAATAATGGCTCCAAATACATATCAACAAACATGAACAAGCATGCGATCTACATATCTCCATTTTTCAAACATCATTGGTAAGACACTATATACCAGTACTACTTTTTTGAGCAATATTCCAATAACTTTAAAATGTTATTCTCAAACCCTGAGAACCTATAAGGAAAGGCCAGGAGTGGTGGCTTACTTCTGTAATCCCAGCACTTTGGGAGGCTAAGGTGGGAAAAAATTCTAAATATGAAAAACTCATTTTTAAGAACTTAGATAATTTAAACAGAAACTGTAACACAACAGAGGCTATTTTACTCACCTTAATTCTTATGACCATAATCTTTAGCAAAGTTTTAATTAAGAAAATGCATTACAGGCCGGGCACAGTGGCTCACACCTGTAATCCTAGCACTCTCGGAGGCTGAGGGGGAGGACTGCTTGAGCTAAGGAGTTCAAGACCAGCCTGAGCAAGAGTGAGGCCTCATTTCTATTAAAAATAGAAAAACTAGCCGGTGTGGTGGTACATGACTGTAGTCCCAGCTACTGGGGAGGTTGAGGCAGAAGGATTGCTTGAGCCCAGGAGTTTGAGGTTGCAGTGAGCTATGATGACAGCACTGCACTCTACTACCAGGGGCAACAGAGCAAGACTCTGTCTCCAAAAAAAACGAAGGAAAGAAATTTCACATGATTTTATTTAAGGTAAAAATGTAGTACTGCCATTTTGATACAGTAAATGAGTGTTTTTTAAATGTGAAAAAGGACAATTCTCAAACTCTAATAGCAGGAATATCAAGGTGTCACTTTAGAAAGCAACTTGTCAACCTACAAATACCCTGTGACCTAATAATTCCATATCTCAGCATCTACCCTAGAGAAAGGCACACATATATACAAAAGGTTTGTATAAAAATGTTCAGTTTCTTCATCTATATATTACAGAAAATGGAAATAACTGACATGGTGATCAATAAGTAAATGGCTAACTATGGCAGCTACATTTATGGACCACTCCTCAGCAATTTTTAAAGAGAGTTTAGATTAAAAACAAGCAGCCAGCCGGGCACGGTGGCTCACGCCTGTAATCCTAGCACTCTGGGAGGCCGAGGTGGGTGGATCGCTCAAGGTCAGGAGTTTGAGACCAGCCTGAACAAGAGTGAGACCCTGTCTCTACTAAAAAAAAAGAAAGAAATGATCTGGACAACTAAAAAATATATATAGAGAAAAAATTAGCCGGGCATGGTGGTACATGCCTGTAGTCTCAGCTACTCAGGAGGCTGAGGCAGGAGGATCGCTTGAGCCCAGGAGTTTGAGGTTGCTGTGAGCTGGGCTGACGCCACGGCAGGCACTCACTCTAGCCAGGGCAACAGAGTGAGACTCTGTCTCAAAAAAAAAAAAAAAGAAGGTTTTTTTTGTTTCCCTATCAGTAATCTCCAATTTACTTGACCCTACACAACCTTCTGAACCTGCTTGCAATTAAATAGGGATTGTACTTCCACCTGTAGTCCCAGAGAAGCGCCATCTTTACTAGCTCTGTTCTTGGTGAAGCCTTGTGTTTTTAATTACCAACTAGCTGCTCTTCATGTTACAATCAGCCCTTTGGAGTCTTACCAGGTAATGTTTGACTCTCTCTTTTACAAAAGCCTATCAACAAATTCTATTTTACCATCCGTTCAAGTATAGGTGGATTAAATACTAAATCAGTTGAGAAAAAGGTAACATGGAATGATTCTCCAAAGTTTGATTTATGTGGGCTACGTCACCACGGTTTGTTGTTGTTGTTGTCTTTTTGAACTCCTGACCTTGAGCGATCCACCCGCCGCGGCCTCCCAGAGTGCTAGGATTACAGGCGTGAGCCACCGCGCCGGGCCTTGTTGTCTTTTTAAGTGAAAAGTCATATAGGGACAGACCAAGTAAAGGTGAAGAAATGATGGAGGACTTTCTCGGAATAGGGTTTGCTTGCAGCGAGAGAAGAACCATAGGGTATAATTGTGTGCTCAGAAGGGCTCACGAAAACTGAACAGCAGGTGTTTGGGATCTTCAATGTAGTGCAGTGCCACTAATGTCAGGCAAGGGAGTTGGCTCTTTGTTGTCCCTCTTTTAAATGCATACTAGTACTGTAACTCCTGCTTCCACATAACTGTCTTGGAAACAACTTCACCTATCTTCTATTTGCCTGGCCATACCCGCTCTTCACCCTTACTAGGGAGAGCTAACTTGTCCAGATTCCACAAACCAGCTCCCTGCCCTCCTTGGTATATGGATGGGTTGAGGCAATGGGAATTATCTACAAGAGATTGGAGGCCAGAAGATAGTATAAGTTCATAGTCCTTATTCCTCAAGCTGGGTCACCAAGAGTTGGTTGCAGAGCCCTCTCTCTCTAGTTACCCTCTCCAACCTTTCCCTTTGCTCCTTCAGGCTTAGGGGTAATAACCACCAGCACTTGGGATACTGCATTATCCTTTGTTGGTTTCCCTGACTCTTACCCACACCTCTGTAAATGGTCCTTTTACTTCAAATTACAAAGTTTGAGCATTCCATCTGATTTTAGTTGGGACACTGATTGACCCAATTTGCCATTGCTGACCTCCATTTTGTTACTTTGTACTGCCTCTGCAGGTACTTCCCAGAGTCTTCCTCTCTTTCTTAGTTGAAAATCAAGGACAAAAGACAGATTGGCTCTATTTATTTTTTCTAGCAAGATCACACAAGTCATTAGCCAATCTATAAATGATTTGCCCTTGGGAAGGGTGCCTACCTGGCCTGGAGAAACAATTATTTGGCTCAAAACACTCATCAAGGCAATGGGAGGGTGGAAGGAGAACCAGCTTCTAGTGAGCATGTGTGAGAAGTAGCATCCTTTAACCAGGGATTTTTTTTGTTTGTTTGTTTTTCTCTCCCCTTTTCTCTATTTTAGTGAATGGCACCACCTTCCTTTAACCAGAGTTTTTCCCCTCTTCTCTTAGTGAACGGCACCACCTTGCATAAAACCTAGGAGTCATCCTTCTACCTCCTTCCCCTCATCCTCCATGGCTAGTTTATTCATTTACAAAATTTCTCAAGCATTTTCCAGGTAATGTAGACACTCACCAAGACCAATTGATTGTACCTCCCAAGCATCTGTCAGATCCTTCTGCTGCTTTCTCCACTGCCACCTCCACCCAGCCTTTTAACTGGTCTGTCTGCCTCCATTTAGACCTATTCGATAAAATCATTGTGAGATCACATGAGATAATATGTGCAAAATGCTTACCATAGCATTTTTATTGCTTTTAAATCAGTAGATTTAACCGGGATGAGTGACCTTAATTTTACTGAACTACTGAGGTTAAAGCCTGATTCTTGTCTGGCAGGTGGGAGGGGT